TAATGCCAACCACATTTTACAAAACAGGATCCTAAGAACCACAACTTATAAATGGTGATATCGGTATACAGAAATGTTATCAGCACAACTCACCTTTTAATGTTTATCCTTACTCAAGAATGCGGATACAAGGCATTTGATTATATAATAGGATGCAACCAACACACCATGACAATCCAAAACAACGACTGTCTTACAGTTTAAAACGACATTATTGCCTCACAACTTCTAAAAAACAACACAACAATATGCAATCCAAATCCACATCCAAATTACCAAGCAAGAGGTTATCTTTGCAAACAACCAATTCCACATCTCGCCTCAACAATGAACATAATAGACGCTCTCTCAATTCATCCACAACTAATTGTGATACATGTTCCACTACATCTAGTAGCACCTCCTCAACCAATACTGATTCATTCTACTCAACTACAGAAGCAAGTATGCTGAGTGTGAGTATGGAATTGTTGGACACAATGATTGTTTATCCAGGTGGTAAACACTCAGTATTACAACTCAGTGAAAAGCATCGTGTATTGTTAGTATTTATCAAATGGTTTGGTTGTCCAATTTGTCAGAATGTCATTGATGACTTACAGAGATATCTGTCAAGCTTTTTATTGTTAAATATTGTTCCAGTAGTTTGTCATCAAGAAGATATTTCCAAGTTTTCAGAATACCTTTCGAATACTCAATTATTGCATTGTAGGATAACCAAGGAAATGAAGAAGGAATTCTCTGTCAAGAAAGCTTCCCTCCTAAAACATGCCAAAGTAATGCCAAGCATGATCAAGTTAATGGTACAGAAAAAGAAGAAATTCTTCTTGCCTTCAGCTCATGAAATCAAAGGTATGGACATGCTTTCATCATTTGGCATGTATATTGTACATAAGGGACAAGTAACAAGCAGCTATTCATCTGATATTTTGAATGCAAGACCAGATTATGGTGTTTTCTTGTTCCACTTGAAAGAAGATCATTTATATTCAGATAGTTCATCTCCAGAAGACTTTCTTCCAAGACTTTTAAAGCTATTCCCAAACATGAAGATGGTATTTGAGGAATTGAGAGAGAAGAGAAAACAACAACCTGAATTATCATCCCTTCCACTCACACCTAGAGGATCTAATTTCAGTACTAGTTTTAAAAACAATGAAGAGGATGAATTCTCATTGAAAAATGTCTTGGAAAATGCAACCATGAGAACATTCTTCAAGGCCTTCCTATCCAATCAATATTGTTTGGAGCCAGTTATCTTTTATGAGCAAGTTAAAATGTTCAGAATGTTGTGTCAGAGAAGATCACCTGCCAGCCCATCATTCGAATATCAAATGGAGAATATTCTTGCACACAATTCACCTAGCTCAGCATTGGATTTGAAAATTCAAGAATGCAAACAAAAGGCCGAATACATAATTGATAACTTTTTGAAAGATACCTCCATGTTTCAAATCAAAACAAGTGGAAAGTTATTAAGGAAATTATTCTCAGCCATTGAAGAGAAATGCTCTGATGAAACACTTTTTGATGATATTTTACAAGATATCATATCGAGCATGTTAGTGTTTCGTTTCGAAAATTTTACTGATTCACCTTTTTTCCAAGACATGATTCATAGAGTACAATCGAATAAAGTTGTGACATCAAATTGAATCATTTGAACACCTTTCTTCATGTCATTTGGAATGCTACCAAGTTCCCTTAATTCTGAAGATTTTCCCCACATTCATTATTTAATAATCATATTAATATATTGGATATCAAGTTGAGGTGGCCGAGTGGTTAAGGCGCCAGCCTGCTAAGTTGGTGGAGTAATCCGCGTGGGTTCGAATCCCATCCTCAACGTTTTTTCATGCTTGCATTTTTATCTCCAATCAACTTTCAAGTAGCTGCGGGTCAAGTCATCACACTAAATAATGGCACAATTTACAAAAAAACAAAAGAACTCACAACAGACCTTCCACCTCATCACTTCTTTAATCTTTTTCACATTAACTTCTCAACACATCATCACAATTAAAATTTAATAATTAATTTATTCGAAACTATTCGTCATCAGCATAATTATGGATATTTTCTGTGTGTGTATAGCAGAATTTGATTTACTCAAAGGAAACACACTTTCACATGTGTATCCACCCGAACGAAGAACTATTCTAAACACTTTCACATCTCATTTGGGAGATTATTGTCTTCCGGATGGTGCTCACTATTTTGAAGAGGATGCTACCTATCTGGTAATTCCTTCAAATGTTGTGAGTTCTTCTCTGTATAGTTATTTGAAATCGGGTGCTTCTTCTAACAATGTTTCTAGTGTTTCGAATAGTGAGAATAGTTCAGTTGTTAATAATACACAACAAGTAATGGAATTTATTGAACCCTATGTGGATAAACCAATGTATGCTCATTGTTTATTTAGAAATAAGAAGGATGAACGTGTCAAGAGAGGTGCCATTCAAAAGTCAATTATTTTATTTTCATCAAAACCATTATTTACTGTTTATGAGAATTTATTGAGATTGGCATTGAATAGAATTTTGGATTTGGATAATATTCACTTACAGGTTAATGCTACAGCTACTAAGAAACAACCAGGTGAAGAATTAAACGAAACGGATTTAAATCTTTTGAATCAAGTTCATGATCAGATTAATGATACTTTGAAAGAGTTTTATAACGAGTGCAGAAATTGTAACATGTTACAATTGAAATTATTCCCAAATACTGATACTATTACTTTGAATATTCCACGTCAGATTGATCCATTCACACCAATTGCATTTACACATGGAACTTCTCTTGTACAATTAGTTCAATATTTTGGATTGGAAACAATGCTTGTTTGTTGGAATGCTCTATTGTTGGATAAGAGAATTATGGTAATTGGTTCACCTGCCAAGTTGGTTTCACAGATCTGTCTCACTCTTCCTCTCTTGATTTATCCATTCCAATATAATGTCAATCGTGTACATCCATATGTGCCACTCTCAGAGATGGATGATGTGTTATCTGCAACTTCTAAAATTCCAGAATATATCATTGGTACGACGAATGCTCTCTTTGAAACTCAAGGAAAAAATCAGAGAACTCAATGGTGGGATGTTTGTTTGAGTGTCAATTCTAGAAAAGTTCAACTTGCTGAAAAGATGCCACCTCATTTCGGTGGTTCTGATTTGGCATTCCTCAATACCAATGATAGCGAAGATGTTCAAATTGAAAAGCTCAATGCCTATCAGAAAGTATTCATGTTAAATGTCATTAGTGGAGTGAGAGATGGAAAGAGTGAACAATGGGTTCGTGATCAGTTCAAAACTCACAATCTCAAGTTTATTACCGAATTATTGACAAAGGGAAAGCTTACTGATATAGTTGAGAATGTTCCGTCTGATGTAGGTGTCGATCCACAAAAACAACAAGTGGCTTTGAAGAATATTTCAGGAGGTCAATTGAAAAAGATTCAAAGACAGTTCATTGCTGAATCCTCCAAGTTTAGAACCTATGCTTTCAAACAATATTCAACATTTAGAAGTTCACACTGTAGTGGAGATAAGAGTGATGACAAACAATCGGAATCTGTTCTCCAATTATTGCAATATTTACAGGACGATAGGATTATCAAGAAGCAAAAGCTTAAATACTTGTTTGATTTGGATAAGATGTTGTGTAATGTTGATCAAATTGACTTGTTATTGTCAGTTAGTGATAATTCAAGTATTTTTACAACTATTAAGAATAACAAGTGGTTAATTGATGATAATAATCAGTGGAGAAAGTACAGTGCCAGTATTTTATCCCAATTGGCAATTAGTGTTAAAGGTCAAATTCAATTATTGTCTCTTCTTCCATCTATCAAACTCTTGACCGAAGATTCAATGCCAAATGTCAAGAGAATTGGTTATTACTGTATTATGAAGGTTAGCAACTTGTACATTGGTACATATGCCATCTTGAGAAACCACCACGACATTATTGAAAAGATTCTTGATAACATTTTGAATGAGAGTGTGACAGATGCCAATTTTTATGAAATTAGAATGTACAGCATTCAAACCTTGTTACAAATTTGTCACTATTTTGATTATTTCAAACAGAGTATTAATGTTATCATGACAGATAAGGTCAATAATAATATGATTGAAGATGACGATGCCTACGCCAAGATTGTCAGTGTTTCCGTTGATAATTCAATGATTTCTTCAATTGTTGAAAAATTGGAAGGATTTAAAACTAAAATTGCTGGCAGTTTCTCCTACAGTAGTATTTCCAATAACAGTGTAGCAAAAAGAAGTTTGAACGATTACAAATTCATTGACAAGTTACTGATTCTCTACGATTACTATGAACTCTATAATAATTACCACATTCTCACTGAGAGTGCTCTCAAGTACAATATGAATGTCTTTTATTATTTGAGAAATTTTGACAATTCTCAGGCAAATTCATCCTTCACTGAAATGTATCATCACATCTCATCTATCATTATGAATATTAAGAATGATTTGAAGAAGAGTAGTTCAGTTCAACAATCAGAGGGCGAAGATTCCAGTGATCCTCAAACACACATCAATGAATTCCATCATCACCACATGAGTGTTTACTTGTTAGCTCTCTTACAAAGCACCAATTTGATCAATATCATTTTCAATGAATTTATTTTGAACGTGAATCATATCAAAACTTACAAGAATTACAAAATGCTCTACATGGTCATGCAATTATTGTACTATGTCATTGATACCAATGTTGGAATGTACTATTTATTAATTTCCAATTATATTGAATATTGCTTGACATTTATCAAGTACTTTTCCATTTTGAAGAACAATGATCCAGAGGAAAGCAGTGAGGGCAATTTGAATTTCAGACTTTTCAAATGTTATTCCTTTATCATGTTCCTCAAAAGACTTTGCAAGTATAAGAAGGCAGCGTGTAGACTCATTGAATCTAATGCTCTTCATATTTTAGGTCAATTCATCATTACTCATTATTACAATCCATTATTATCCAATTTGACCTATGCAGCCATTGATGTATTCCAAGATCTTTCTGTATTTTACTTTACACACTATTCCAATCCATTGGATTCTCAATGTGTAACCCAATATTTCATTGAAGAGGATTCCACCAATAGCAGTGGCAACCAAGACGAGGAAGAATTCTTTAAAAATCCACTCTATGAGAGAAATTCCACATTGTACTTTAAGAAGAGAATTAAGGATCGTCTGGAAATTCTGCCAGAACTCAGAAAGAAACATTTATTCAATTCTCTCTACAAAATTGCCTCAGCAACCTCAAAAACTGAAGATTTTGAAAAGAATTTCCAACACGAAGCCATGTTAGAAAGCTCAAACTTCAAATACCATTATCATTTACAAAAACCAAGTGAGAAATCTCCGAGAGTTCTTTCAAGACTTTCCAAATTTAAACAAAAATTTACAGTGCAAACTAGTGAAAATGATGGAGATGATCATTTTGAGATGAATGTTTTGGATCAGAAATTGAGACAGTGTGTTCATATTTTGAATACTTTTATTTTCAATTCAGATAATGAAATGAAACTTTCTTCTGAGGAATAAAAATTATATTCGAAAGTATATCATGTTATGGAAATGTAATGTTTGGAAAGTAGTGGAGGAGTAATAGAAATATATTTTGGTAAATTTGCAAATTTGTTAACAATTGACAATCTGTTATTTGTGTGGAATTTGATCGCATGTCAGTAGCATTAGAATTACTTAGAGGAAAGTGGACGAAATGGCAATAATCTGATGGCGTGATTGTTGACGCATGCATGTCATTTTCCATTTGCTGATTTTTCGCTTTGTTCAATTCTTCCAAAATCGAATATTCACTATCAACATGCATATTAGGATTACTGACATGTGTCTCGACATGCATCTTGACAGGTAAGCTCATTACACTAGCTAAACTATCCTTCTTTGATAAAACTCTAAATTGTGATGTTGGCTCTTGATGTTTCTCTACATGAAATACGAAATAATTATCCAAAAATCTTTCGTTTAATAAAGTCTTTCTTAAACGTTGAGTTTTCAGTTTGTTTTCACGTTTGGCTATTCGCATGGAAGTTCTCAATGTTTCGTCTATGAAAGAAACATCTCTTTGATTGAGTTTCGAATAAGATTGGGGCATGTTTTTTTTTAGTTGGAAAGTTTCAAACTTTCTGTTCGATTCTTAATGCACAAGGGTAATATCGAACAAGTCTGGTTGTGAGCACATTCAAAATGGTCAATGGTAAGATTTTTTAAAGTGCATGGTTATGGCATTATCCAAAAAGGGAACATTGACGGTCAATTAAGGTTTTTGCACATCAATTCAAAGTTGCCTTGTATAGTGCAATGAGTTCTTCCACAATAATTCTTGGTTAATACTACCAATCAAAAGTTAAAAGTTCCATTTTTGAACATTAACTTTAATACTGTTCTGTTTTCTGTTGTAAAAGTTAATTATTATTATTGCAATGTCGCACGAATGAAATTATGCGTTTTATTGTTCTGATGATGGCACTCTTCTAAAATAGAAGTTTGATACTTGCTAATTATTGAGGCACCTGATGATTCGTTTCGTTTCTTTCGGTCTGTATGTGCTTAATGAAGTTGAGCAAACTTTCGAAAGTACACGTTTCGGTTTCACCACTTTCATTTCTAATAATAAGAATGTGGAAAGTACTGGTGGCAGTGGTGCAATGATTTTTCTGCAATAATTCTTGTATAAATTTCCATGATTGACCTTTGTTATTATAAGAAGGTTTCCACTCAACTTGTTGGAACATTAATTCAACATTTTCTGCCTACATTTTAGAATATTAACAATTTGCTAATGATTGAAGCATCACCTGCTTGATTATCATGATAATTCTTCTGAAAGGTACACTTGTGCACAAAATCACACTTAATATGCTGTAATCATTTAGTTTGACAGAGATTGGAAAATAGTTGTGGTTGTGGTATTGTTTCTACCTCGATATGGAACTGTGTGCTTAATGAAGTTTCCAATGAATTTTGATGAGAATCCTTTCGAATACAATCTGTTTCAGTTTCACTTAAAGAAGCGAGATGGGTAAAACAGAGATATTACTCAAAAGATAAGTTCTCAAAACAAAAGATCCCATTCTAAATCGCATTTATTAAAGTCATGAGAGTTGACGAAAGTTGCGACTCAACTGAGATTTTTATTGAAAGAAATTTCTGTTTTGTCCTTGATCCATAAGAGCACAACACAATTGCAGTAGAAATAAATCGAATTGTTGCTGATGGTTGTGGATAGTGTTTGGAGTTTCGTCTATTTGTTGTGTTTCATTTCGAATGATATTTGTTTCGAATAATTGATTTTGCTCGTGGTTATAGTTTGCTGATTGCAAGTTGTTGATCTTTGGTGGAGAAGTAGTAACGTGTTTAGTCACAATTAATTGTTCACTTTCGAATGATTTGGATCCATCAATTCGAAAGACAACAGTTTCGTCCTTTTCAGGGTTCAAAACAAAGTAATTCTTCAATAAATCATCATTACACAATTGTTTTCTCAACTCGTGTTTGGCAGATATCTTGACCTTCTTTTGAATTCTATTCAATGTTTTACAAGTTTCGTCCTTGAACATTATTTGTTTCGTCTTCTTATTCGAATTATTCATCTTTGAGTTATTTTATTTAATATTAATTCAATGTCCAGCACACATGTTTCCATGATCAAAAGTTTGCCTTTATCAACTGAACCTGCCAAAATTGTCCTTTTTGATATTGACAATCAGATGTGCTGCATTTAAACAATCACATTTACAAACTTAAAACGAAAGGAGATATTCGATATGGAAAATTGCAATTTCATTATGGAATTAAGAGACAATTGCGGCTCTTTCAAATTTTGGCTTCATGAACTCGAGGGAAAGCACTTTAAAAGGAATTAGCTTTATTTGTCAAATTTCCTAAGGGAAATGAGATTGTAGGAGCTCAATATCACAACATTTAAATATTTACAAATGTGAGAACAATCAGATTCGACGAAAGGAACACTGAATGATGAACTTAACCAAGTAGCTCACAAGCTATGAGAGTCGGATATTAAAGAAAGAAAGCAATTCATCCATGATATTAATCCACACTTAATTATTTTCGTAAAATATCTAAAAATTGCTTAGACGTACAAGTAATTTGCCTTGTAATTAAACAAATTTACTACCCTTTGGTTATCATTTTACTTGCTCGTTGGATATCTAGGATCTAAGTTTCTTGTGATGCGTACAGTATTCGAAAGTCACGTCCTCCGTGCATGTAAGCCAAACAACTGTCATCCTTTCCAATAAACACACTTCAATTTTGCTAAAGCAGATCAATAGCGCTTCAACTGATAATTGATGTAAAGGTAAGAGCATTAACTGATAAGTGGAGATTGAAGAAATCTCAAATTTACAGATTTATTGAAAATTATTTCTGTTTTCTCCTTGCTCTAATTGTGCACAACATAACTGCAGAAGGAATAGATTGAATTGTTGTTGGTTGTGGAGAGAGTTTGAAGTTTCGTCTAGTTGGGGATCATTTCGAATAAGTGGAATTGGCTCTTGGTTTTGATATGATACGTTGCTGATCTTTGGTGGAGAGCAGCTGACTTGTTTAGTAACAATTAATTGCTCATTTTCGAATGATTTAATGTCATCAATGCGAAAGACTGAAGTTTCGTCTTTTTCTCTATCCAAAACAAAGTAATTCTTCAATAATTCATCATTGCATAATTGTTTCCTGAGTTCGTGCTTGGCAGACTTTACTTTCTTCTTGTTTATTCTATTCAATGTTTTACTAGTTTCGTCTGTGAACATTAGTTTCGGATTCTTTCCATTATTCGAATTATTCATCATGGAATCTTTTTGGTATTTTATTTGATCACGTAATTTGAGATTTTTGCTTCTGAACCTGTAAACAAGTCAGCAAGGAGCACCACTTTCTATCAAGAAATTTCCAACAGAAAGAGTTGTATAGTTGACAGATATCAAAATTAAGGCACCTGACATGTGTCATGAGAGGAAGATAAGGTTGAATAAAAACGAAACATGTTAAATTTAGTTTATTTCTTTTTTGTTTATTTCTCGTAGAAGCTCTTCGTTGCAGACCTCTATTTTCTCCATTACTCTTCATTAAATAGGCAATCCACATTTTCCAAAAACACTTTTATCATGTAAAAAAGGAGAATTCATTTATAGACTTTACAGTCGAAATTTACCATTTGTTGATTTGTAATTATTCGAAAATGATCTATTTCAGAAATGATGAGTATCCTATTTAACTTTGTTATATTTCACTGAATAGTTTTTCAGAAAAAGTTTTCCACTATCACTCACTACATGTGTTGAAACACATTGTTGAACAAAGTTCTGAGTTATTTTTAATACTCTTCAATTCCACATATAATTATTACTGCTTTCATTTACAATTATCGCACATTAAAATTGTGTTTGTTGATGAATTGATGTAAATTCTTGCCAGTTTTGATGTGACAGACTGATTCGGTCTGGTTGACAATACATGTACTCACTACTAGCTGTTGATTGTTGATCCTCTAGATTCAATCTATTTGATTGTGGTATTAAAATGTTACATGGCCACACCTTTTTTTGACACACATGTACATGTAGCTGTTGTGTGCATGTTCAGCAATTTAACAATTATGATAACAATTGAAGCATGCTATATCTCTTTCGAAACCACCACTATTAACTTTCTTCTAACAACATTATTCCGGTGCTACATGTAAGCACACATGGTAAGCATGTTGTTATTTCTTTTTTGTTTGAACGTATTGGAAGTCTACATGTTGTAACCTCCACACACTTGTTAATATTTCAATTTCACCAAAAGCAGTGAAATGACTCATTTTAAGCAGGCAAATTGCTTTTAAACGATCTAATGAATTTGTAACAGTGGTTTTTTCAAGATTAGTTTGCCTAAATCTGCATTCTTCGCGTAATTGACTAGCCGAAAGTGATGGATTAATGAGAGAAAATTTACAAATCTCCAACTTGCAGATTTATTGAAAGCAATTTCTTTTTTGCCCTTCTTGTTGGTGAATGAGTGCACAACACAATTGTAGAAGGAATTGGTTCATTTCTTGTTGGTTGTGGATGGTGTTTATAATTTCGTCTGGTTGTGGATCATTTCGAATGGTTTCAGATACTGGTGGATTTGGTTCATGGTGATGAGTTGATTGGACGTTAGTGACCATTGAGTGTTTAGTCACAATTACTTGCTCATTTTCTAATGGTGTGTTTTCAATTCGAAAGACAACAGTTTCGTCCTTTTCAGGGTTCAAAACAAAGTAATTCTTTAATAAATCATGATTACACAACTGTTTTCTCAATTCATGTTTGGCAGATATCTTTTCCTTCTTCTTATGTATTCTATTCAATGTTTTACAAGTTTCGTCCATAAACTTTATAACTTTCTCCTTCTTTCTAATATTCGAATTATTCATCTCTTTGAGCTTTTTTTATTTTAATCTGTAGAGACCTGTCATCAGTTACAAGATCTCGTGTATGTAAGTGAAGCATGAACAATTATAATTTGTAACTTCTAATCTGAGAATT